AATTTTTTAAAATATTTTTGTTTTTCAAAAAAAAGAAAAAAAAGAAGCACTGTAGCGTAGGTTTGATGCTCAGCTGTTACACTCAGTTGTTGTACAGCTTGATAAATTTGAAAGTGTTTTTACTATAACTGAATAATGTATAGCGAACTGAAGAGCTATAATAAAAGAAAAGATAAATTTTTTATGAGCTTAATTTAGAAAACTGTACTAAATGTTACATTAAATTACCAACATTAATACAGACACTGAACATAGCCATTGTGCAGGATGTTTTTACCTATGGATCGCGTAATGTTACGATGCTTAAGAGGCTGAAACGTTGGATGTTGCTGTTGGTAATAGCGATATTTGCGCCTTGTCTATGTTGTTATCTGCCAGCCAAAGGGATATATCGTTGTTTTGGACCACGAGGTGGACGCCATACACCATCTAGGCAATATTCGTGACTTCTGTTTTTTTTTTTTTTTGCTTTTGTAGTCTTGATGCTTATACAAGCAAAAAAAGCCGGTATATGTTTCTGAAAATGATAAAACTGAAAATAAACTAAATCAACAATAAAAAAATGGCATTGATGTTGAAGCCGTCGATAAATTTTGATTTAAAAAAAAAAATTAGGTATTTTCCAGTGACTGGTAAAAATTGATCAAAAATGATAAGAATATCGTTTTTTTTCTTGTTGCTAAAAATCACCTTTAAACAACAGATTAATAATCAGTTGTAAACCGGTTGCTGTTTGATGGATAGTATCTATTAAAACATTTTGTGCTAAGTTTTGTCAAAAAAATCTTTCCACCGTAATCTAACGACCTATTGAACAACAAGTTTAATTCACAAAACTAAAATTTTTATAAACGCCGAACAGCACAACAGTTGAAAATTTAGCAAAGTTTTAATCATTGGTAATAAAAAAAAGCTTTCGTTTTAAGTGAGCAAAGAAGCATTTTTCTTTTCCAATCTATACTTTTCAATTTAGAGTAGTAATAAAAAAAGGAGAGAAGAAGGCCTGTTAAGATTTCATTTTTTTTGCTAGAACCTAAACCATTCTCTTGCTTTTGTCCACTGACGTCTTCAAGTCTATTTATTTGAATTTAGAACAATTAAAAAAATTCAACTGATTACTAATTGAATACCCGAAGTATTCTTGATTTTCTGAGTAATTTTTGTGTTTTGCGGTAGTAATTGAAAAAAAAAAGAAAACTTCTGAAACAATTAGTTGGAAAATGTTAAAAGGCTGTCCACTTGGCAGATAGTCAAAAATTTTAAGATATCGGTTAAGATAAGTGAAATTGGTAAATATTTTCACCACAGAGAACTGTCCATCTGTTATCGCTGCAGAACAGCACTGTTAAACTTGTTTACTTTGGCTTTTTTTTTTTTT